CCCCCCCCGCCGTGGGCTCCCTGCCCGGCGCAGACCCCACTTGCCTCGGCCCGCTGGATTATTATCACTGCAACAAGGTACCGGCGCCGGGGGGTCCCCCCCGGGGGCGGCCGCGCTCCCGTCCCGCCGCTGCTCCGCGGGGAAAAGGGGCAGGAAAGTGCCGGCGGCGCCGGGCTCCGGCGGGAGGGAATTTTGAAAGTGGTCTGGGAGAGGAGAGGGGGGAGCCCGAGCCCGGGGCGCTGCTCGGCGGGGCGGGCCGGGAGCGGAGCGCGGGGGGAGCGGGTGTCGGTGTGTCCGTGCCGGGCTCGTTTAACCTTCTCCGTTCCGGGGGCGCTCGGCCCGGAGCGATGCGCGGGGTGGGGGGGGGGGGGGGCAGGGGTTGGTGGTGGTTGTTGCGTTTGTTGTCGCGTACTTTTTTCCTGTTGTTCTTCGCCGTGTTGTTGTTTTGCACCTTCTTCGCAAGCCGGGTCGCGGCTCCTCCCGAACGGGGGCTCCGGCCCCCGCCTCCGTCCCCCCACCTGCCTGCGCTCCCGCGGAGGGGACACCCAGCCCTGGGGGGGTGAGGGTGTCTGTGTGCCTCCCCAGACCCACAGCACGGCGGCGAGACCTCCCTAACCCACATTTCCCCCGCTCGCTGCAGCTGCAAAGCGAAGCACCCTCCTCTCGTAACGGGAGAGGGATGCGCAGGGGATATTTGAGAGCGCGGAGGTGCTGTAGGAAATTTCCTTCATCCTAGAGAAGGCGAAGCGGAGGGGATAGATGCTCCTTCAGGGATAAGGAGTTCTCTGCTAGTATCGTCTTCCTCGGTGTGGGTAAACACCGCTGATGTTTCAGCTACAAAGCCGTGGGATACGGATCCCTTCGGAGGGAGGGGGATCATCCGAGACTGAATCCTTGCTGCCTCCCGGGCCAGATTCGGGTAATTGTTTTGAGAAAGTTAATAAAGGGAGAAAATACTTTCCTGCATTGGGACGGCAGCTCGGGATGCTCTCGGCTCATCTCGGTGTTGTGATAGTTTGTGATCAAACTCTTTCGACAGAAGCAGAGGGAAACCTGTGTGGCTTTCCAGACACGGCAAATTAATCTTTATGTATCAGGGTATGTATTTAACTGTTCTCCGCCACTTGGGTTATTTATATCTTTTTATTAAGTTATAGCAAACCTAATAGTTCTCATTTATTTTGAGATGCCAGATTATGCACAAAGGAAACAACTTTCGTTGTTTTCTCCTGTATCCGCGCACTGCCGGTTTCAAACTGGTTTATTATCATTGCCGTTGCTCTTAAAATGCTAAATATGCTCTTAAAATACTTAACGAGAGCTGGGTCACCTGGCGGCAGGACACCCGCGCCACTGAAACATCAGCCCGCGGCGTGCGAAAGCCGAAATCTGGGATCATGTGAGCGTGTGCCACTGGGAACTGCGGCTGCCCCCGGATCCTGCTGGCTTTGGGAGCTCGATTTTACCAAGAAGTTGTTGGGTGTCGGCGTGGTTTAGTTTGCCGTCCAGTGTTCCGTGCAGGAGCTGGGGCTGGCGGCCGTGCCCGCAGCGCCTCAGCCCCGCGGGGCTCGGCGGTCCCGTGTGCCCCCAGCAGTGCCCACCCGAGCCTTGGGGCACGGGGCCCCTCGTCCTGAGCTCATCCGTGGCCTGAATCCCTGAGATTAGTCCCGGATTAGGCGGTCGCGATTGATCCGCGGGTCCTCGCTGCGCCGCGGCCGGGAGGCTGCGGGGAATCGCCTCCTCTGCGTCTGCGGCGACCTCAGCCCGGGCGGGCGATGGGTGCGATGGGTGCTGGTGCCGGCCAGGGTGGATGGGACACCGGAGAGGAGCACCCCAGGTACTGACCACTGCCACCAGATGCTGCTGTTGTCACTGCTACGGAGGATCTTAAGGCAGCGGGAGAAGAAAGGAAGTGACTTACCCTTTGCTGATATTCAGGGCGCTTTTTTTTTTTTTCCTCCTTCCCCCCTCCCCCCCCGCCCTTCTTTTCTTTTCTGAGTTATCAAATGACATTTGCTTATGCACAGCCGTGCACGTTTGTCTGTGGGATGAGGCTGCTGGAAGGAAGCCAGAGACGAAATGGTTGACTTTGTTTTCCCGGCCCAGTGCAGGTATAATGGTTGTAACTTTGGCGTCAAACCGTGGAGCGGGTGGAGGTGGCTCCTGCTGCCTTTGCTCTGGAGAACTCCGGCTGGTGTGGGGTGAGATGCCACCAAGGATCACCAACAGCACGCTGTTATCTTGCACCTGCAACAGAGAGCACGGCCTGAGCACTCCTGCTCCTCAGAGCCACACGGGATACTCTGGGAAACTCCAGAACCTCACACCAGTCCCAACCCCGTCGCTCCTGCCTGGTGCTGGCAGCTCAGCTCAGAGCTGGGCTAGAACAGTGTCTGCCTCAAAGCATTTCTGCTTCAAAAAGCTCCAGAAGAGGGTAGGGTGGACTGGAAAAATCAGTTCTCCCACTGTGACATGCAGATATCCTGGATAAAACCCCTCTCTAGGAAGAACCCTGGGCGAGGAGCATTTACAGGCCCTTCGCTGTCTTCTGCTTCGCTGAGTTTAGGGAAGGGCTCTAAAACCCTTTGATTGAAAGGGTTTGTTGTGTTCAGGTTCACCTTTTTTTTTTTTTTTTCCCAAAGGGCTGCTTCATTTATTTATTTATTTATTTGGGGAGAAGGCAGTGAGGCTGGGAAGGACTGTGCCCTGTCACTGTGCATAAATAACTCACTGGGAGCACGGCGGAGCTCTGCCCATCTCTCTGAGCTGCTGGGGAGATGTGCCTGAGCCCAGAGCATCCTGAAATGTTAATGGAATTGTTTTGTGCACTTCCTGGACGTGATATAGTTTTGCTGGGAGGCCTCCCATCCCACCTGTGCCCTGCAAATAAGCCACAATTTCTCTTTGCAGCTACAGATGGCCCTATTGCGCATCAGCATTTCCATTTCTGAAAGGACAAGGGATGTTTAGAAGGGTAATGAAATGGGAATGTATGTTCAGTCAGGGCCACCCCTGAAGGGGGTGTTTGCACCTTTTCTTTAACCACTTCCCCAGCATCCCTGTTCTCCCTCAAAGGGCTGGCCACTGGGAGTGGGATAGAGAGGGTAGCAAGGGATTGGACACCCATGAGTGGATAATGGGATCCCTCCCACCCTATCGGGTAGGGTGAGAAGGAGCCTCCCCCACTGCTGCCTGTGTTTGGTGAGGAGTTCTGATACATCGGGAACACCGGTGGCACCAAGGCAGGGGAAAGGGCTCCCCGTGTAAACCAGCCCCTGTCACCTGATCCTGCACGGAGCAGCCTGCCATGGCAGCTGGGAAGTGGAGCCAACCCCAAACTTCCCGGTGCTCACAGCCTGGAGGACTGATGCTCCTTGGCAGGATTTTTAGGGCTGTGGTGGCTCAGTGCAAGGTGTGGGGTGATAAGGAGCAGCACCTTCCCGGAGCCACCCCAAGGGACACGCTGTGAGGAGTATTTCCCACGTCGGTGCCAACCTCTCACCTCCTTCCTGGGAGCTGCATCCAGGACCTGCTCCACCACTGGGACTGCACAGCAGGAACACCTCTGATGTCTGCACGGTGGCCACAAGGGACTGGGGATGTTCAGCAAAAAGTGGTACCGTCTCTGCAAGGAGCCCTCATCCAGACTGCATTATCGGCCGCCTGAACCCTGCTGAAGGAAACAATTATCTCTGTTTTGGATTTCTCATTTAAATCTGGGTTGAAATCCCCTTTTTCTGTTCCCTCTGGCCTTTTTCCTGGGGCATTGGTGTCTGCTGTAGACCCCCTCGTGCTCCCTTGCTGTAAAAGTGGAGCTCTCACAGGATATCAGGCTGCCCATGTGTTGTGATGGTGTTGTGAGTGAGAGGCAGCGTGTTCCTGCATCACCTAAGGGCATTGTTGGTCTATGGTGGGGTATTTTCACATCCTTCCAGTTGCTTCAAGAAAATTTGGGGGTTTTTTTCCCACTTGAGCTCTAGAGAGACTCTTCAGCTGTATTTCACAATAAGTAAACCATGGGAAAAAACACACAGTTCAGTAACACCGGGGCTCATTTTGCTCTTAGCAGAGCTTTAGCAACGGCGTGCTGGCTGACATACCAGCAAGGAAGGATTTTCCCAGATCCTAAATTGTGTGTGTGAGTCCACAGAGTACAGGAGGGAGTTTTTCCTTCTCAGCTCAGGAAAAATTGCCTTGGCAAGGGAGGCACGTGGCAGGAATCTTGCCCGAGCACAGTACCCTGTGCTCTTTCACACTGGGTGTGCAGTGATGCCGGGATGCAGGAGGAGTGATCCTGCTCCCCAGGGGCATCTTTAGGGAGTGAATTAACATCTCTCTATTCTTCCTGCAGAAATACATTTAAATATAAATTCTTTGTAGTGCTTCTGGTGTTACAGTGATCAGTGCACGGTGCCCAGTTTCCACCGAGGGCATTGATTGACTGATGGGGAGGAGGATCCAGCCTGGGAATGCTGAATCCTTGCAGAGCAGGCACACTCCTCTCATCCTGGAGGTGCCTCTGGTGCTTGGGAATGCTGGGGAGCCCTGTTAACCCTGCAGCATTTCTCTAGGATTAAACAGCATCATGAAACCTTTTCCTGGATCTTTCTAGTGGGACTCTCTGTCTTTGCATCTCCAAACACACCCTCTGTCTTGCTTTTTAGGCAAGATAAATTGGCAAAAACTATTTTGCCAATACACCATCATAAATTATGGATAATTAAAATCTACTAGTCATGAGATGAGTATTAATCTGCAACCAATGCTCTCTTCTTCTTTTAAGAACCCTTCAGAAATGGGATCTGAGCTGCTGGTATGAGCCTGGGTCAATGTAGCAAATGCATTTCTGTGGAACATTCTGTTTTGACTTTCACAATAAATTGTACATTGCAGTGATAAACATGGTCCCTTTTTCCTTGTTCCAGAACAGCTTTGCCATTCTGGAAGATAAAATATATTCTTTTCCCTTTCTACTTTCGAAGCCAACTCTGTTTTGAAGTAACATAAATCTTTCTTTGGAGATGGAGGGTTTTGGATGGAGAACAAAGTCCGGCAGATTTTTAATTTGAGGCCCATC